TTGCGCACTAAATTTGATCATAGTTTCGATCGGTTAGGGTTAGACAATCACACATTTATCACAGCGATTACTCATGATTTCGATAGGTTATGGTTACACTTCATTGATTATGGTTTCAATAGGTTATGGTTACACAATCACACAATTATCACAAGGGAAGAGGAGAGAGTGGAAAAGAACGTGCAGAAAAAAAGATAATTATGACTAATTAAAATAAAATAAAATTTATAAAATTAATTAATTACATTACTGCCCTTATTAATTTATTTATATTTAATATAAGTTAATTTATTAATTAAAAAAGTTTGAGGTTATTAGATTGTTCTCGCATTCTCGTAAATCACAGGGGTTCTCGTTTGAACCTCCACCTATATATATATATATACATATATATATATATATATATGCATACATACACATTATATTATAAAGTATTTGATAGAAACTGCTAAAAACAATTTTTTATGCATGAAGTACTATATATTGATACATATACTTAAAATTCAACATTACAAGTAAATTATGCACAAGTACAACTTACTAAAGTTCTATTTTTGAATTCATGTAATTAACTGTGGATAAACATAATCATATACATGATAAACATCTCATTTTAAATATAAAAGATTTAAAATATAATTAGGATAATCATTGAGTTCTAACAAAATAATTAAATTTATTATCTTAATAAAAAAAGATATATTATTAAATTAAAAATAAATTGTTTCGTTATTAAATCTAAATTAAATTATAATAACAAAATTTGCATTAAAAAAATTACACAAAAACATAAGAACTTTTAAATAGTTAATTGAAACTAGTATCAATATACTTTTTCAAAATTTTAATTATGATATACTCAAATTTATATTTCATTCAAAATTAATTATCATTTTCTCAAAACCAAATAAAACCGTATTATATCGACAGATACAAAAAATAAAACGAATAAAATTGAAATCTCGTTGTATTACGCAAGTACCCTTTTAATATATTAAAAAGTGTATTGGATTGATGAATTTATAAAATATTATAATAGTATAATTAATCTTGAAATAATATAATTGAGGAATTATTAAAGCGCTATATATTCCAAACAGTATGTTTATGGATTTATATTTCGGGAGTTTATATACATAAAGTTTACAATTAATAACATATGAATACGAAATAATTATAAAGTTATAAAAAAATATTTCATTAAATGCTTCCAAAAGTTACATTCTTATTTATAAATCTAAAATATTTAAATTATCATAAAAATTTAAATTAGATAGATTATATCAAAATACACAACAAAATAACGTTTTACTTACAATAAAACATTTCATCTTGATAAATCATGGCACATAACAATATTTTATTTTTTTTACGTAAGTATTTTTTAAATTACAAGATTTTGACGGTATAGCATATTTCTTAACGTCTGCTTCAACAACAGTTATTATTATTACATACAACTTTATAAAATTTAATGTTTGAACTAAATAAATTAACTAATAACCGGGTAATAAACTTAATAAATTTAATCCATTTTTTGAATAAATTATTATCAATATCATTTAAGTCTTCAATTAAACATATTATATATAAAATTAGTAGCTTATTCTCTTTAATTTGTTACTGTTTTAAAATCTTAACTACATTTTAAAATTTGGATCGCTAGTTTTTATTTGAATTATATAATTACTAGAAGGGTACTCATGCAATGCAGCGAGATATATCTCAATTTTAATGTTTTATTTTATTCATTTTTTCTATCGATATAATACGATTTTACGTTGTTTTAGAAAATAATAATATTTTTATTTTGAACGAAATATAAATTTGAAAAAAAGAATATATTGATATTAGTATTAAATTAATTATTAAAAAGTTATCACTTTCTGTGTAATTTCTTTAATTCAATTTTTTATTATAATTCAATTTAGATTTAATAATAAAGTAATTTATTTTTATTTAATAATATAATTTTTATAAGGATGATAATTAAGTATTTTGTTAAAATTCAATTATTATTCTAATTATATTTAAATTTTTTATATTTAAAATGAGATATTTATCCTGCATTTGATTATATTTATCCGCAGTTAGTTACACGCAGTGTCGTTCCTGGAGTTTTTTATGCCCTGTGTGATGCTAAAAAAATGCCCCTATGCTTATTTTTAAGCAAATGAAATGACGAAATATACGATTTTACTAAAGGGTTTGGAAGCTAGTCAAGCTAGGCAACTCAACCCTATACCGAATTTTATTAATTAAAATGAAAAATACAAAAGGGGACATAAAAACCAAAAACCAAAACCCCAAATTACAAAATATAAATTTATCACATTTCAGAAACCTTTTTCAATAAAATCATTGTGATTTTTTTTAGAAACATTTTCAATGGGATTTTCAGAAACATTTCTAATGGGATTTTCAGACACATTTTCATGCCTAACAAATGGAACAATTTCTTGTTGTTTTTTCTTAATTTTTCTATTTTGTGTACCTGATGGTTGTGATCTAGAAAACATGTTTAATATGAAAAATAAGCAAAAAATAACCCAAGCAATATTAGTCAAGCATAGAAGGATAAAACCTAGATTAAGCTCTGCTTCCTTTCTTTATGGTTTTCCCTTTTCCAAGTTGAAATTAGTATGCTATAACCTTACTTCAATATTTGCAACTTAAAAGGAAAGAAAACTATAATTAGTTATTTAGTTTTAACCAAAATAGTAAACAGAATTCATAAGACCAAAGTGTGAAAGTGATAACCTATCTAGAGTGCACTATGCTCCAAAATAACAAATCTCATGTCCCGTTCAGTTTAAGCCCAATTAATAATGAAAATGAACCTATAATAATAGAACATAAGACCAAAATCAAATGGACAATCTAAAATAATGAACTTGACCCAATTTTGTTTTGCTTTCTTCTTGATTTTTTCAGGCATTTTTGGGCGATTTCCAACCAATTTTTCATGGGGCTTTTGATATTATAATAAAGACCAGATAAATGTTGATATTTTGATAGCAAAATCACTGAAACCATTGACAAGTAATCTTTAATTTCATTTTCTTAAAACTAGGGTTTTTCCCAAGTTTCCACCATCATCATATTGGACAGCAAGTCAACAACCATTACCATAAGAGAGCTTGTATTAATTGGAAATACAATGAATATATAATGCCAAAATTAATCAATTAAATATTACTATGTTAGAATTTATAAACAAAATCATACCTTGGTTTGAGAAAGAATGCAATCACCTTCCATAATTCCACTTCCAGTATCAGAATCCAGATTTGAAGAAATACAAATGCAATCGACTGTACCTAGATTTGAAGGATCGTAATTTGAGAAACAATTAAGGATTAAGATTTGAGAGTTTGTCGACAATCGTGTATCTGAGTATATATAGTTGGGCAGTCGGCAATGCATCGACTGATCATCAAGATCGATCCATCGTCCCATGGACAGTCGTTAGACTCGTTATCATTAATCGTCTTTCTCTGGAACTGGAACGTCATTTTCGAAAATCGAAAAAGTCGAACACTTAAAGAACAATAGAAATCGTCAATTTCAAATCGCCAGAGCCAATCGTCTTATGAACTGGGATGTGTCTATCCTATTGTCACCGATTAAAGTCTTTGGGTTTATTATTAACAGACCTGGTCAATTGGGTCTCTGTTTATAATTAAAGCCCAAGTCTTAAATTATTAAACTTCAAAAACCCAAAACTAATATTATATAAAAATGTGATGCCTCTCTGGGCTTTGATACCCTGTGCGGTCGCACGGGCTGCACGTGCCCAAGGCTGGACCTGTTTACACGAATTAAAAAATAAAGCTTTAATAAGTTGTAGTTAAGCACAATATATTTGTAATATTGAATTTTAAGTAATATGCATCAATATACAGTACTTCATGCATAAAATGTCGTTTATAAGAATTTTTGTCAAATACTTTATAATATAGTATAGATACGGGGAAATTTACTCTCACACGCTATTTATCTTTGGTGTAATCTCAACCATTTAACCTCCATAAAGGCCACATTCTATTTGTAATCCGAGTACCATTGATCACTTATCCTTTGGTGAATGATGCATAAGTTAAAACTTTAAGGGATGCTTTAAAATACAAGAAACTACAAATGATATCGAATACAAACAAAATAAATTCTTAAAATTAACGAAAATAATTCCTTTAAAATCGATAAAAAAAGGAAACTGAAAAAAACCCCATGGGAACCATATTTAATAAACTATTTTAAACAATGAAATGGATAAGACGATAGACACGCGGCAGAGAATTATTCGTAGAGATGATTACAGTCGAAATGACAACAGCAAAAGTCAAAAGCAATGGCAGAGATTTGAAGAGATCGGCGAGAGGTTACGTGGTAGCAGCTCAATGGATAATCTTTTATACAATTGATAAGGTTTCATCCTAAATTTTGTTGCTATTCAATTTATTTTCCTGTCATTAACGTTAAATTGATTGTAATCGCACCATCACCTTCATTTCATTAATGGAAGCTCCCCCTTAACTCCCTTGTCTTCTTTTTCTACATTTAATAAGCTTCATTCTTCCTCTTCCACTGGGTATGCAGATCTCCCACAGATACGTATACAATACATTATAGAGTACATGTATATATTATATTGTTTATTTGGGTGCCCATAAAGTGTTTGATAATATGCATGAATATGAATAAGCTTTTTCATTTCGCCCTCCCCAGCAAATACGTTATCTTCTGAATTCTGATATATACGTGAAAACCAATATCTGTAAATATCAATCATTATCTCATATAATATGTAAAATGGAAAAGATGGTACTGGCAAGCTAGTTTAAGCAGGTTGTTACAGAACTCTTGATGAACCCTGTTAACTGGATCATATTTATATGGATTGACAGTTATTTTTCATGGATTGCATCACTATTGCTTCATGTTTCTTGTGCCACAGTAGCCTTCATTATGCAGATTCTAAAACAAGTGTCATGCCATACTTTTAGGTTTATGTACAAAGAACACCCAAAACAGCACCTTTCTTCAATATGATATGTGTTATGAGATGCATTTGCTTTTGAAACTTACTGATTTGTTGATATGTACTTTTTTGTTTTCAAAGACACATGGCTTTGGTTCCAGTATGCTTCAAAATGTGTTATGAAGACCAAATTGTAAACAAGGGAGCATGCTTCATTCCTTGTACCACTGATCAAGATGTTTTTGGAGGCATCTCTCCGGTTTCAAATCACAGAGTTAAGACAGTGCGTTTTTGCTATAATTCTGTTGGTAATTTGATGAAACCAAAATACACAGGCATGGTCAAATCTGCAAACCATTTAAGATCTATCTCTGCCAGTGCATCAGAAAGGGAGAGACTTTCCAGGTTTGCAATAGGGTCTAGTTCCAGAGAGAAGCAATTGAGATCACTGGATTCTTACTTTCGGAAATCCAAGAATGATAGAAATCAGCCTTCTCCAAGTTCTTTTTATGATGACGGAGATGCACACAGTAGAAGTGCTCAATCCACCGATCAAAGGGGACTTGGACCTGTAGGTGAATCTTTGGGTCAGGTTCTTGATAGAAGCGGCCAATTCAACGCAGAAAGGGAACTGTCTTCTGTTGATGAACATCTGAAACTCGATAGAGGTAGCTTTGATTAATTATCATCACTTGATGTTTGCTATCTATTGCTCTTTTCTAATTTCTTATTATCTATTGCTCTATTCTAATTTTCTTATTCCTTCCTTCAGACCTTGTCTCATCTGCTACTAAGGAAGAAACTTCCCACCCCACACTAAATCTTGTCAAGAATGGGCAAGGAACCCAAGCAGAGGTAGATGATCAGGGTGGCTCCAAGAGTGATTATGATGAAACTTCCGGTCTCTACATAATGTAAAGCATTCATCTACCTCTTAAGTGAACATCATTCCCATTGTTATTACTTTTTAGATTCTCTATGTACATATATTCATTCATGAATTGACTTCATATCTGAATTCTTTTGGTTGCAGAAGCACAATGGCTTCCATAAATATTGCAGTTTATCTGTTTGAAATTGCAAGTCCAGTAAGGAACTCTGACCTGGAACTCTTTTCAATTCCAGCACTCTATGGAGCAAAGATAAATCATTTGATCTTATACGGAGAATGGTGGAGGCTACTCACATCAATGTTTCTGGTACAAGATTGATGATTGGGTTCGTGCCATTCTAGAATTGTTTCATTCTATACTCACTGAAGTAACCATCTGGGATTTCTAAAAACGTTAGAATGATTTACACAAATGATATGCATAATAAGATAGATGTGTCTACCTTAAGTTCCTTTGAATCAAACAAAGATCATTAAAGTATGCAACTTTTAATTCTGAAAATTATAACTTACCTGTTGCAGCACACAGGGATTGTTCACATCGGGCTTGGTTGTTGGGTGCTGCTCACATTTGGTCCTCAAGTTTGCAGGGTGTATGGTCGGTTCACCTTTTTCTTGATATACATACTCGGTGGACTCTCGGGGAACTTCACCAGCTTTCTTCACACCCCTGATCCAACTGTTGGTGGAACAGTAAGCAAAGAACAATATCATTCATTTCAAATTTCAAAGTTGGTCTTTCTGCACATATTGATGTCTATATCACTACGGGTTACTGATTCAGTTTCGTTTCAATATGATCAGGGACCAGTTTTTGCTATCATTGGAGCTTGGCTGATCTATCAATATCAGAACAAGGATGCAACTGGGAAGGATGTTTATGAAAACATGTATCAGAAGGCAATCCTTGCTACAGCACTGGGCTTTGTTTTATCCTCTTTTGGTCCAATTGATGAGTGGTGAGCCCAACTTCACATTCTTTACCTTGTACCTTTGGCTGGCATATCTAAATGATTTTAATCTCATTGCTGCAGGTCGCATTTCGGCTCAGTGTTCACTGGCATAGCTTACGGCTTCTTTACATGCCCCACACTACAAATAGACGATTCATCGTCTCAAAAAACTGGGAAAGATGATGGGATCAGACTCATAGGACGAAATGTGGATCCTTGTAAATCACTTCTGTTGTTCTCCATTTTTGTTCTGGTCCTGAGTTCTTTGTTTATCATTACTGAACCTCCCCTGGGTTCAGTAGCTTTAGACACCCTTCTGTGATATCCACACCAAAATAGTATATATACACATATACATGCATATATATATATGTAGATAAATAGTATATATACACACATATACATATATGTGTCATGTGTGTGTGTAGTATACACCAACATAAAGATAAGCTCTACTATACTAAAAATGTAGTTTGGTTGTTGTTTTACGTGGTCTTCTATGTAATATATATGAAATGTAATCCTTTTTGGTTGCTTTAATCGAAAAAGGTGCTATTGGTGCAATTCTATCTCATTTTGCGCTTGGGTTTTGACTGGAATGACGTGGCTCCGAGTATGTGTAGGTGGACTATGTGCATGAAGTCCACATGTATGATGTGAAGAAAGGCTGTCGTTTCCTATTTATGAATAAAGTTAGAGGAATTTCTACTTTTAGTGTTTTCTACAAGGTTCTAAACGTTTCTGAACAACCAATTGAATCTTTTGGGGGACAACTTGTTATACATTATGTGTTATAGGTTGTACTTTGAACATACGAATCATCTTCAACAAACATTTGGGCATGGAGTAGTTGTTAATTTACCAGATAGTTTAGATCCACCCAAAGCTTTCTTTCCCTTCAATTCGACATCAAGGTCTCTGAAATCGAAGACTTAACAATGGAGGTGGGGAAGATTGGCAGAGGTTTAATGGTGCCAATGTTGGCTGCCAACTTTGTAGTGAACGTAATCGTCATCGGACTTGCCGGCTGGTCTCTGGATAAGTACATCGACGGCGAACAGAACCACCCTCGTAAGCTCTCTCAGTTTATCTGTTTATAACGTAATTGTAGGAAGATTTGGGGAGGATGGATTAATATGTAGATGGTGATGTAGATTTGGGAGGGAATCCATCAACGACGTACATGTTGGAGTTTGGATTACTTGGAGGTGCAATCGGAATGTGTTCGTTGGCGATGGGGTTGATGCATCATCGAGCTTGGCGTAGTGCCAGTTTGGCCAGTGCTGCTTCTTCGGCATTCATCTCTTGGGCGATTACTGCTATTGCTTTCGGGTACTAAATTACTGATGTTTTTTATTTCAATCAACAGGAGTTTTGAGCATGATGTAGGTTTCTGAATATAGGTTTGCTTGGAAGGAGATCAAAGTGGGAGGACGAAGAGGAAAACGTTTGGTATTGATAGAAATTGAAGAATCTGAATTGATGTGTTTTGTGTTGATTTGTATATGATGAAATTGATTGTAAAACTGCAGCAAACACTGGAATTGTTCATAACTATATCGACGTTCAGCCAGATGCTGTATCTGATGCTTCTTCATGCCGGAATATTTAGCCGGAAATATGGACCGGATTATCTCAGCTACAGGGACGATGTCGTTATCCACCGTGTTCCCACCCATTCACCGTCCCGGCCCACCACATCGTCTGCCGACTAACAATAGATTCCATATTGAACGACAACTCTGTTGTACATTCTATCAGATGGAAGGGGTGTGATTCGGGGGTCTGGATTCTATATTGTTCTTCCTTGAATGAAATGTATAATGTTAATGATTAAAAAATGATATGATTGTGAGAAATCATCAAGTAATTGGATTCACAAAACAATATGAAATTGGGCGAAAATCATGTAAGAAAGAATGTTATGACGAATAATGTAAAAAAAATATGAATCATAGATAACTTTTAATCTCATGTACATTCATGAATTATGCTTTAGATAAGAATTGATACGGTGTATTTCGATAAATCTGATTAGTGTCGACATTTAAGATTAATTTAAGGGTAAAGATATTTTCTCACACTTATTACTACTAGAAGCGTATCCGCGCAATGTAACAAGATACATCGTGATTTTAATATTTCATTTTATTCTTTATCTCAATCGATGTTATAATATGGCTTTATGTGATTTTGAGAAAGTGATGATGTTTTTATTTTTGAATAAAATATATGTTTGAAGATATATCATAAAAATTTGACAAAAATATATCGATATTAGTCTTAAATTAACTATTTGAAATTCCTCATTTTTTTGTGTAATTTTTTAATTCAATTTTTTTATAATTTAATTTATCTACAATAACAAAGTAATTTATATTTGGTTTAATAATATAATTTTTTATAAGGATAGTAATTATTTATTTTGTTGGAACTCGATAATTATTCTAATTATATTTTAGATTTTTTATATTTTAAAATAAGATGTTCATACTCTATTTGATTATGTTTATCCGCAGTTATTTATACGAATTCAAACATCGAGCTTTAATAAGTTGTACTTATGCATAATTACTTGTAA